GGATTAACAAGGGACTGTGGAGAATTTAGTCAATGACGAAATTCTTTATAAACAATAATAAACTAGAAGAATAAAGCCATTTACGGTCAAAGCTGAATTACAGTGCTTATTATAATTGTGTGAAATTCTTTATGAAATTATAGCTAAAATACTGGGAAAATCCGAAAGTATTTGATATTCATAATTAATAAAATCGCCTAAAGATGCGTACTGAGCTTATATTCATTACACAATATTATTTCTAGGAGATAAAATACGATAAAGTACAAATATGTATTTGCACTGCAAATAAAATGCACAAAAGTTAGCTTGTCACTTCTGTCAGTCTCTATTAAGTATGAACCATATTATTCCAACTAAATTCTATGAAGATATTTTACAAACCAAGCAAACATATATTGTGCAATAGCATTTCCTTACATCTCCAGAATCGGATTTTTTCTTTTTCTTCTTTTTCTTTCCTTTTTTATCTTCACTACGTGCTTTTCGCTTTTTCCCCTTCTTCTTTTTTCGCTCTTCTGGCTCGTAATCATCATCTTCTTCCTGTAAAGAATCATTTTTATGTTTCAAACTTCTGGATATTAAATACTAAAGTATTCAGATTATTAACAAGATATTGTTACAAAAATAAAAGATGAAAGCATATATAACACTTGTGGTTATAAATTATAAAAGAAACTTTGACCATACTTTAATTACGTTAAACAGCACCATTTTCTTAATATGAGTAAAACTCTAAAATTAAATTAATCATTAGAAACATTTAATCTTAAGCAATTATGCCAATTGAGTTAACAAGTTAATCAGGATTTAATTCAAGTCACTTGTAAGCATTATTAAGTATCATAAAATGTAAAACTTACTAGTCTCTGAGATTCTTCAGCATCAGAAGATCCATCTACTTGCTGGCCAACATTTGATACTTGTCCTCCAGTTTCGTCCATGTCATCCTCTCCTGAAAGACACGTTTATGTTCAAATTTATCGCTGTAAAATCTCTTCTATCTTTTTTAGGCTCCTATTTTATAACTCTCAACAGTGTCAGTTGTACTGTTAGTGATGTTGTACTGTCGCTATGCAGTTTTTTTTTACTATATATAAAAACTTACTAAAAACTGTACAGTGACAATATAACATTGGCATCATTGTTAAGAATTACAGGTTTTTTTATATAGTCCAATGTGAAAAGAATAATTAACTACGATTGGTTTTCTTACGATTTAAAACTTTTAGATGACAGCTTATTACAAAATATAGGCTTTAGTGACTGATATCACTGTTCTGTATTGTATTAGCACCTATGTAAAAAACATTTTACAAAGATAAAAATAGAAGTCATTAAATTGGTTGTTTTCTAAGAGCAACAATATATACATCGAGTAATGTAATAAATTGAAGTTTTTTACTTTCAACAAATATCAGTATTTACTCGAATTTCATCAATTTCTTTTCCATAAATATGCAACAATTTCTTCTCTACATATTACTACATATTTTTTTTTACCTTACGAATCACGATCCAAATTCTTTAGTCGAGCCGTAAATTTTCCAACTAAGTTACGAACGATAATTTGAGAAATGGATTAAACAAAGGGTATCGGAGTACAGAAATATAACTCGATTAGATTTGAATTTCACTCGTAAATCGTCGGCGAAGGAAGCTCAGCTCGCAAAGGTACGCGGCAACGACCGAATCAATCGCGCTGCGCGACGCGGTGTCCTTAATTATGTATACACGGCGAGCGCGGGCGAGAATCTGGCGAAGGTATATCGATGCAAAGGTGAACGAGAGGCGAGGGCGACGAGTTTCTGCACGAGATTCACGATCCACGATTGGCGGCCGCGGCGAGGACGGTGCCGGACGAGACTTCACTTCCTCGCGAACGGTACGGGGAACGAAATTTTGTACTAATCAACGTTCCGCGAGTGCCTCATCCGCGAGTGTACATCCGCCATTTTCTTTAATAGGGCCATACGTACGCTACATACATTTGACATACGGGCGCGCGTACGCCACGCACACACATACACACGCGCGCGTTGCGTTAAACGCGCGCGCGCGCGCGCGCGCTACGTCGGCACGCTTAATTTCCGTCCGCCGGCTTTATACGATTCCACCGAAGGACGTGGGATCCGAACGCGAAACCCGTTCACTCCCGCGAACCTTTATTGCAGGCCACTGCGACGCCAAACGGCGGAGGTTAGACGCCGGCTGTCGCGCGCGTGTACGTGTCCACCTGCGTGCGTGCACACGTCGCACACAATGACGCGGCGCGTGTGTGTACGTGAAACGCGGATCCATAACTTGGTTTTTTTTTTTTTTTTTTCCTTCTTTCGCGCGGACGCGTCGTAACATGGCGCAAATGCAATTATGCCCCCCTCGGTCGGGAGAACCGTTCGCGGGGTGTGCTCGAGATTTTCGGAGAATATCTCGAGATGTGTCAACCTCGCGATGTCAGTTTATACACGAACGATCGGCGCGGCCGAGTCCTCACAGCGAGAGCGTTTATTCCATCGCGAGATCACGAAGACGATTGAAACGGAGAGAGAGATATATATATATACTTATGTCGCTGTGTCGAGTCTTGCTCGTCGGTCATTACCGCTTACCACGAGTGCACGGCCGCCGTGCAACCATGTTAGATTTGCAAATCAACGACCATGGCTGCGTTCGATTTTTGTTAACTCCCAATGTTCCATAACTCATCTAATGAGTATTATAATTGTGATTACGCAAGCGCGCGAACGCGACGAGCGCGTTCCCCGACGGGATACGCGTGATAAATCAGAAATCGAGCGCCGCAGAGATCGAAGTAAACAAATAAATGCAAAGATTCGGAACTAGGGAACAAAAAAGTCGCTTTCTATATGCGTATTGTCGAAACGTACATTCCCCCCACCCCGCCCCCCTCTCTCACCCCCTATTTTTCGCCAACGAAATTCCAATTCCTCTGTTGATGAGAGAAATGCGCTGACAAGCAGAACAGTAAACACGAGAACGCGATTTGATCGAGAGAGTTGCTAACGCCGGACACGTACAGAGAAAGAGAGACAGAGACGGAACGCACACACCATGTGCACGCTCGGTGTCACTTATATCGCCGTCCTCTTTTTCTCCGGGGAGAGATCAATTTCCACGGTGCGCGCGTGTGGTCGTCGAAGCCACGTTCTTGACGAAAGTACGAAGGATGCAATACGAGGAGGACTCCGGGGACACGAGGGAATGCGAGGAGACCTGTGGAAACTGGTGGAAACCGGCGTGGGGCATCGGAGTGTGATTGACACGGCACGGCAGCCATTGATGGGAGCAAAAAGCGCGCGTCCCGCGAGCGCTGTAACATACACATATATACGTATGTATGTATGTACACCAACGGCTCGTGCGGACACCCCGGGTGCGTGCACTCTCGCTCGCATGGTACACAAACTCGCACGCACTTACCCGCGTAGTTTTCCTCCATCTCCTCGTCCGACGCCATACTCCGGCGAGTCCGCTTCTCGGCACCGACGGGGACGGCGACGACAACGGCGGGACACGACGACGATCACGATGACGCTTCGCGTTTTCCGGCGACGCGCCTTTACCCTCCTCGTGTTCTACCCCGCGTTCACCTCCCTGTTCTCACCGCGGTGTGCGTCTTTCTCACGGACGCGCGGAGGGAACGTCACGGAAATGCAACATCAAACGCTGTGTCACGGCGACGCTCTTTCCCTCCGGGCGGCTCGACTCCGGCGGCGTGGAGTGCCGTCGGTCACTCGGAACGCACGGTATGTACACCCTATATACGACGACGAGGAACGACGAACGCGGCTACTCTCTCGCCACCGGTCGCCGGCGCGATTCACCGCGATTCGTCGTTTCCCCTCGTTCTATTCCCATTCTATTCCCACCAATCCCACTTCTTACCGCACGCAGCTCCCGCGTCGCCGATCCCCCCCCTCCCCCCTCCCCTTTCTTCTTTCACATCTTCGGGTCTGAAAGTGAAGTGATGCCATTTCTCGGACGCTCACGGCGTGTCACGCGGTGTGGAGGGGATAGATGGGGGGATAACCTGGCCGAGCGTGCCGTACTATTCAACCGATCGCACTCAAGCGGCGCGGATTTGCCAACGATCATCCCCACCTGTCCCCCTCCATGCGTCGCAACGTGCCGTAAGCGTCTGCAAAATGGCAATGCCATTATATGGCATCGCTGCTATGTGCAACCGAAACCGTCTGTCGGATTCGCCACGCGAGCGTCTCTCCTCGACAAAGCACGGTTTCTGCGTCCTTCCTTTCCCTCTCTCTTTCCTCTCTCCTTAATCTTTTCTATTTTTCTACCTGTCCATTATGTGACTGCCACGTCAGGTCGTTTTGCGTTCTTTTATATCTCCTATGATTAACGAATAATTTATATTTATCGAACAGTTTTTGTTCCGTTCTCTCAAAATGCTTTATATTGCTCTTTTTAAATCAATTAAATTAACACGATCGATTTTAGTGTTCTCTCTCCTTTCTATATATAGGATCGAATCAATTTTGTAATTCGAAATAAAATTTTTACTCATCACAAACCTTTTAGATCTTAATAATGTCAAAAGCGAGAAAACGTACAACGAATATTCTTGCAAAGTTAATTAGGTTTGTTATTCGCGTTACTTGCAATTTTTATACTTGGTATCTTTGTTTATCTTCTTCATTTTGGCATTATAGGCCAGATTTCAAAACGTCCGAGGAAAATTTTCCTCGAACAACATTATATGTACATATTTTATGTTTCGAGTAAAATTTTATTCGTCTTAATTGATTTAAATATACATACATATCTAGAAATTTTAAGCAACACGAGCAAATCTATTAAAATACAAATTTTTTTTTCAAAAATCGTTCTGTAAAGATCTGCAAATGGCTTCCTTTTATTAAGTACAAACATTCACAATTACGTTGCAACTTTTCAGTATTTTAATAGCAATTACGACAATTACTAATTTCCTATTATGGTAGCTATGTTGTTTAGGAAAAGTAGGGTTAGCTTGCTCTCAGTAGAGAAAGCATGCAATCAGATACGCGTGTGCGGTGGGTCATCCACCGTGGATGCTAGAAAGCACGTTGATTATTCATGAACTGTGTTTGGTGGTGTTTGATTTTTTGTTCAATCTTCGTGCGTATCGTATTCGACACGATACTTTTGGAAAGCATTTGTCAGCTTTGACTGTCATGCCTAGGACGACTGGCCAATTAAACCTCGAGTAGAAATTATAAGTAATTTGTGGCAATGTATTGCTATATTTGCAAAGAAAAAGATCAGGCGTTGACATATCACGTGTAAGTTTAATTATTTGTGAGTACAGTATTAATATACGGAGTTTGTAATGTTAAATTTTGAGGTTAGGTTTCGTAATCGCTCTTTAATTATTGTAAATAAGTGATAAATAAGTATGTCAATACTTCGCATTCAAGTCCATTTCCATTGAAACGAAGTATCTGTACTTTTGAATTAATCAAGTGTTGTTATTATAGATTTCCGAAAGACCCAAAACTTCGCACCAAGTGGTTGGCTGCATTTCGATTTAAAGAGATCGATATTATGAAATATACAAGGATATGTGGAAAGCATTTTGAAGACACGTGTTTCTATTATATTGATATAACACAAGAAAGGAAGATGTTAAAGAAGGGATCAATACCTACACTTCTTCTTCGCAAACCAAAAAAAAGGTAATTTTTTAATTATACAATTTGATTTTTGTTATAACAGACTTTTAATCCTTTAATCTTATTAACAGATAGAATAATATCTGTAGCCCCTGATTCTTGTATTTAATTCTTGCAGCATTGTATGTATGGTATATTGGAATTTCTTTACACTACTGCCCTTAATTGTTTTCAGGAAACTAGATCTCAGCAAAGATACAGATGACGTTAAATATACAAACATTGCCAGTACTTCTGAAGAGTTACAGCCACAAAAAGATTCTTCAACGTGTGTGTTCAACCCAACTAATACATGCGATCCTATTGTGTCAGTGAAAGAAGAAATTGAAGAAAAAGTCATAAGCGGTACTGAATCTACTTGTTATTCAATGGAATCTGCCATTGACATGGCATCGACCAGACAAGAATCACAAATGAAGCAGCAGAGATGGCGTCCAGCTCATATTTCACAAGTCGATATGGAACATGGTTTTGATACACCACGCCGTGCCAAAAGACATTTCAACTTGGCAGTCAGTAAAGTATTGTTATATCAGCGCAAAATTATTCGTATTAATCAGCAAAAGCGACGAATATTACAGAAACTTAACCGTTTGCAATCATTACTGAAAGAATTGAAAGATAAGGATGTTATATCCAAAGAAGTTTTAAAGATCATACAGGTATTTTCAGGGGTTAAACTGACTAATTGTTCTACCAAGAACTTAAGAACGACTCAATTACAAAATAAACTTCAGTGACATTACACATTGAAAGCTTTATAAGTTAAAACTGTATAGTATATTATTTTTTACATTGTGTACATCACAGGAATTGGCTGTGTTTAGTTGCAAATAAATAAAATAATTATATTTTAATATGTACTGATTTACTAATTAAAAAAAATAATAACTTTATCAAACGATTTTGTTACTCTTTTTATGTAGACAATAATTCAGAACTGCAAAAATCTCTACAAGAGCATTCGCCATGACACTACATTTTTATTCGGCAAAGGCATACAATTATGTTAGAAAGAAATTTACGAATTTATTGCCGCACGAAAAAATGTTGACAAAATGGTACCATATAAAAACAGTATAAATAATAGATGGTAATCCTGGATTTACGAAGCAAGCATTCAATTTGATTGTTAATAAGATTCAGCCAGAGGCTCCTGTAATCGTTAACCTTACAATGGATGAAATGTCCATTCGTGAACATATTCATTGGGGTGGTAAACAATTTCATGGTTACGTTGATCTTAGCATCGAAGGTAATAATAAAGATGAGAAGATACCAAAAGCCAAAAACTTGTATTTATGGCTGTAGGACTAAACAGTAATTGGAAAGTTCCTCTCGGGGTACTTTCTAATTAACAGCTTGAATGCCAGTGAAAGGACCAATTTGTTGTTAAAGTGTTTGAAAATTCTGCATGAAACGGGTGCTATATGCAACTCCATTACATTTGACGGAGCAGCAATAAATATAAGTATGTAAAATTACATTGTAATTTTAAAATTGGAAGTGCAGAATATCGTCCCATAGTTTGAGCATCCGTTTATCAATGAAAAAGTAAATTTATATGAGTTTAAATTATTATTATTTATAATTATTTATTTTTTATTTTTAAAATGTTGCAACCGTTTTATCTGCCACTGTACTAGCTACAGAAATTTCCCTAGAACATATATATCAAAATTTTTTGCAGGTTTTTGTTTTTTTGGGATACATGCCACATACTAAAATTAATTAGAAACTGTTTTGATAAAAAGCAAATTTTAACAACCACAGAAGGAAAAAAAATAAAATGGGAATTCCTGAAATTACTTTATGAAGTATAAAAACGGAAAAGTTGAGATGTGGCAATAAATTAACGAGAAGATATTTAAGCTGGCAAGCGGAAAAAACGAATGTGAGATTAGCTACGCAATTGTGAAGTTGCAGTGTGGTAGATTCTTTAAGCGATAGCCAATAAGAATCGCACTTTTCTCCTAGAACAGTCCCTTGCCATTGGCTATCGCTACTTAACGATACTGACAACTGTCGGTAGACGTGTACAGAATAGCGTCCTAGTAGCAGGACCGCTCACTGACCGCTCGTGATTGGTTCTACTCTCGTTTCGCGTTACGCTATTCCGCTGCATGGGTTTGCACCCTTATCCTTCTATTGTGGCTGCACCCTGCGCATTGCGCACCATGCGAGAAACGCACTCTAGGAGCATTGCTCTTTCTAGGGAAAACAAGATGGACAACCTAATGGCACGAGTTTGATGTTTCCCGATCGTAGAGGGCGCAATCAAGTAATAATTGGTAATAATTGCTAGCGGATGGCGTATTCACGACTTCACGAGGACCTTTTGCCGCGGATATAGATAAATCTTTTGTAAAATGGTAAATAAATTGTATTGCTAACTAAACCGGCGTTACTCAGTAACTTAATTTCGCAAACTAAACGCCACGTTTGCATTATTCGACAATCTTGAATGAATTCACGATCTCGTTTGTAAAAGCCGGTGTTTTTTTTTTGTCATTAATGCTAAGGTTATCTTATAAAATTTCTCTTTGTCAGACTCATTCGCACGATTGCGAGATATTGCACGATCGTTGAAGCGATTCGCAATGACTCAGAATTTTTTCTTTGTTCGCGAAAGTGTATTAACTGCATTTAAGATTATTTAATGCTTCACAAACCTCTGGCGAACGACGCACGTTTTTTCAATAAGACGTATTATTCAGCAAAATTGTCGAATATAACGTCTAAATACTAACAACAAGATTTCACATGTACCGAATTATCAATGAAATCGCTCGAATGACAATCGTCACTCAAAGCAAGAATTGTAATTGATTCAACAGTTACAGAACGTTGCATCGTGTAGAGTGAGTTTAAAAGGAGCTTCGAGATTGGTGCGATCAACGAGAAGCTTGAGAAATGGCTCGAGGGAACGCGTACTGTCGCCTATGCTTCTATCAACATCGATGGAATTACTCGATGCACAAATACAGTCGGTAAGTTTCTGCTATGAAAATAAGTGACACTAATGATAAGCAATGATGATTTTGTAGCTTCGACTGTATTCGAATTCAGCACGACGGCCAAGCTTTCTATCTCAATTGGTCGAGAATATCAAACAGGAAATGCAGAAAAACAAAGAGATGAAGGAATCGTTAAAAAAGTTTAGAGAAGAAGCTCAGAAACTAGAACAATCAGAAGCATTACGAACAGCAAGACAAAAATTCCATGCTGTTGAATCTGAGGCTAGTAGAAGTTCAGAAGTGATTAAAGAAAAACTAGATACGATTAAAGAAAAGGTACATATCTATAATATTAACTCATATATAATAATAATGTTATGCATGTACGACTATGCAAGTTTATGTTTAAAAGATGCAAGAAGTTATCGAGGAGGCAAGTAAGACTGAATTAGGCAAACGTGCTGGCCAGTTGGGTGAAGAGATAACGAAATCAGCCAAAGGAGCAGCAGAAACAATTTCGGAAAAGAGCCAAGCACTTGGTAAGACAGGTGCATTTCAAACTATATCACACACTGCAGAGGCCGTACGGAATGAACTTGACCAACATGGAATTCTAGGTAGATAGATTTGGCTGAATAGACAGAGAGTAGAAAGCAGGTTAAATTTCATTATTGCTTGATGCAGGCAAAGTTTACGTTCCACCTAAAAAACTAAGAAAGAGAAACGAAGTGCCAATAGAACCTAGAGAAATTATGCCTGACCAAAAAACGACAGGCGTGGAAATGCACAAGGACTACATGTTTTCTAATGCTTGGGAAAATTTTAAGGTACTTACTACACACAAGTGTTTTGTAATAAATTATATATAATATACAAACAAATATGGACAAATACTTCTATTTAATGATATTGAATGTTCTTTTGAAGGATAAAAATCCATATGTGAATAAGGTAATGGATTGGAAGACGAAATTTGACGAGTCAGATAATGCTGTACTACGCGCTTCCAGATTGCTTACGGACAAGGTTTCGGACATTATAGGTGGACTGTTTCAAAAAACCGAGTTATCGGAGACACTTACAGAAATCTGCAAGCTGGATCCTACTTTTAGTAAAATACAGTTCTTGAAAGACTGCGAGACAGACTTCATCCCGAATATTCTTGAGGCAATGATTAGAGGCGACCTTGAGATTCTGAAAGACTGGTGCCATGAAGGACCATACAACATAATAGCGCAACCACATAAGGAAGTTAAAAAGTTAGGCCATTATTCGGATAGTAAAATTCTAGGTACGTATTTACGTATAATAATGTTCATTAATTATATGATACTTTGAGATCATGAAAAGTAAAAAAAAGGGAACATCTATTACAGATATCGACAATGTAGATTTAGTGATGGGCAAGATGATGGAACAGGGACCGGTTTTAATAATTAGCTTTCAATCTCAACAAATCATGTGTGTGAAAGATGTGAAAAACGAAGTGATTGAAGGAGATCCCCAAAAAGTTATGCGTGTCAATTACGTTTGGGTACTGTGTCGCGATCGAATGGAACTTAATCCCAAGGCTGCGTGGCGTTTACTTGATCTTAGTGCCACCAGTTCGGAGCAACTGGTATAGCGTAAACGAACGCAACATAAACTAAACTATTCAAAGTTTACACGACTACGTGGAATTGTCGTGTAATGATGTCATTCGTGTACATTACCGCTATTATTCATATTAAAAAGACGTGATCAAACGAGTCAAGAATTATTTAACGATTACCGAAATATAGTATACGTAGTATACAACGTCTCATGTAAATTGGAATGTTTATGTATGTATACAAGATTTATCAACGCAATATCTGTAAATTTTAATTATACTTTATCATAGTATATACAGACGCTAAGTTATTTACAAGATAATATATTTGTAAATGCGTAGAAATCACATAGTGCGATACATTTTATGATCACATACAGCTTGCAATTATTTAAAAATAGATCATAATTAAGATAATATCCGTTCATTGTACACATAATGGAAGTATCTATTATTTAACTGTTTTATCAATTAGTGTTATGTACTATATTGAACAAAATTTTCGTACTGTCGTATCTTTAACTTTGAAAAACATTGGTTAATATTTAGAAGAATTTATATTGCGAATTAGCAAATATTAAAATATCAATTTTTATACAATATATTTATATTGTCAACTGTATAATAAGAACAAGCCAATTTTTATATAGTAAACAGAAGAAGAAAATAGGTTGTGCTTTATTAATGAGATAATTAAAATCTTTTTTTTAATATTAAAATCTAAACGTCAAAAGTAATTACAGGTATTGCAGTTGGAAAAGTTTTTCAAAAATTAGAAATGTTTTTATCATATATATTTAAAATATTGTAATTGTGTACAGCACAAAATATGGACATCTGATGACAGAATCTGTTAGTTTGAGTATATTTAAATGCATTTGTAATAAAACTATATATATAAATGTACATATGTATACATGTACATATGTATACAAGCTGATATTAACGAATGATTATAGCATACGATTAAATTATAAAGAGAATTGTTGATTATTTTTTAAAGAGTATTATAAGAGTTCGTTTTGGATTGAAACGGAATAAAATGATATCCTGCGAACAAACGATTATAGTATTATTTTTTCTATTTAAGATAAAATCATGCATGTAAATAAGTAGAATATCTGTACCATTATAAGAATAATGTATCTAAACTCATTTTTTATTCACATTCTTCATAACATTATACTGTGTTGTAATCTTTATATAAATATACAAGCGAGTTACAATATTATATAATTTTTTTCAACCGAAATATTCTAATCAGTGTCATGTTCATGTTTGTTTCGATTTGAGTTTACTCGCAAACGCAGGACTCTCTGGATCAGTTAGCTTTTTCGTTCCTTTAATAATAACTGGCGATTTGTATAATGGCATCGGTCTTGCTTTCACCTCCGTCAATTTGCGCAGTTCTGTCTTCACTAATTTCTCAGATTCGAGTTTTTTCTTTTCGACTTCCTGACGCTTTGCCGCCTCTTCCATTTCCTTGCGCCTCATTTTCTCGTTAAACTCGCATCGTTCCTTTGCCCGTTTATCAGTGTTTAATTTAAACGGATAGGCTTTTAATGGTACTTTCTGTTTATCAATAGTGCCAACTGTGTTCTTCGCTTTTTCTATATTCTTCCTCTCTGCCTTGAAAGAATCAATATTCGGCTCTTTGTTTTCCTGATCTTCCACTTGTTCGTTTACAATCTTCATATTTTTGTTCTTCGCTGAAAGATTCTCTTTGGATCTACCACGAATCATTACGGGTTTAAAAACTGGGACCGGATTCGCCCGGAATACACGCGCTCGTTTGTCTTCTTCGAGCAGTTGTTTCACCAATTGTTCCTTTTTTACAGACACTCTCTTGTCCCGGTCATCAAAGCTAAATGGACATGGTAAGATTGATTTTTTTGCACTCTGCTGCTGTTTGGCCGGTGGTGTTGGTGGCTTCGAGAAATTTGGTACTGGCCTGGCATGAAATTCTGTCTTTGTTTTACTGGCTTCTTGCAGATCCTTCAGCCGTTGCTTCTTTTTTATCTGTAGATCCTTATTGCGTGCCTCAAAGCTAAACGGTACAATGCGTGTCACGTTTTTTGTTGCATTGATGTCTTTTGGTACACCAAAGAATGTTACCTCTTCACGTTCTACAATCAGACCTGAGGAATTGGTCACCAGTAATTTAACATTTTTCGGACCACATGACGCCTTGTCGCGATTTGACAATGGACTTTTATTGAGTTGAGACAAGTTTGTAGAAGAAACTTTCTCGTTGGATTCGATCGTAGAATTATCCGTGGCTGTCATCGGCTTCTTGATCACTCGTGAGCTTCGTAGTACATTAGATGGTATCGGATTAGCTTTTATTCGATGTTTCTTCATTTCTTCCATTTCCAGTTTCTCGCGCTCTTCTTGACTCAGCACCTTAACAGGACGCGACCTGTTCTTTGATATGAGTGCTGGTGAAATCGGTATCGTTGGTTTTAAACGGTTCTGCGTTAACTTCGACAGTGGTATACTAGTTATATTATTCGCCTTATTGCTTCTGGTATGGAAACGCTTGGGCGTCTCGTTTTGGTAGCGCGATACTGCCTCCGCTAGACTGACAAATTTCTTGTTGACTGACATTCTGCGCTTCGGTAGACTTCGTCTATGGTTATACCAGGTAAGTACTGAATGCTTATTCAAAGGTTGTGTTTGATTGCCTATCTTGGTCATAACATCCACTTCGTCTTGATTGTTCTCTTTCTTACTGTCAAATGATTCTTTTGATTCCTTTTGCGACTCTTTATCATCTTCCTCGTTATATTTCTTATTGCCTGTCTCATTACATTTTTCAATATCTTTTTTATTGCATTCCTTATTATCTTCCTCTTTGTCTTGTTTTTCTTTCTTATTTTTTGAGTCTTTTGCTAGATTGTTCTTAGTGTGATTTTCATCTTGCTTCAATGGGGTATAACTAAGCGATTTTCCTTTCGCATTTACAGACATGTCAGTGCCTAATTTACAGATATTTTTAACTTTCGTGGATCTTTGCAGAGAATCTTGTCCAGATGGAATATATTTATTCGGTACACTACGACAGCCAATGGATTTAGATAATTTAACAGTTTTAGACATATTCGGTGTCGTAAAAACAGTCTGCATGGTAGTTTTATTCAGTGCTGCTCGAGTTTTAAGTGGTTTTGAACAGAGTTCCCATTGTCTCATTGCATCATTGAATACTTGATCATAAGTAGTCTCTTCTAGTTCATGTTTTGGGGAAGCTATTTTGATAGGAGTGCTCTTTATAATTTCCAAGTCTGCTTGTACCTCTGTGCTAGCACATATGACATCTGTGTTAGACATGAGCTGAATATTCTCTATATTCTCAGAAATAGTATCACAGAAATTATCTATATGTTCATGCATTGCATGCGATTTTTCAAAAAAATCCTGCATTTGTATCGGACTGCGAGTTTCAGTAAAATCTACCCATTGTGGTGCTTGCAGATCAAGGTAATCCCCCATTGTGTCAATCAGTAAGATAGCTTGCACGCAAAATATGTAACTAGTACCGAATCATAAAGAGAAAAATAATCGCTATACCTCAAAATACAAATGTCATCCAACAGTAGTTGATGATAATCTGTAACATAAAAATTTGAAATCTTAAATTATTTTAAAGATGTATCTAGTATTGTATAATATTATATATATCTAATATTATATATAAACAATAAGTAACAAATAACAAAAATGGTTTAACTATGTACTTAACAATGTACTTTCTTTCTTTTGTTTCATTTGTTTCTTCATTTCTAAATTATAGCTATATTTGCATTTTAATCATTCCTGAGGTGGATTTCTAGCTATTGAATCCACAATGCTAGAAATCCACCTGAGATCTCTGAGAAAGAAAATATTAACAAATCACATTTGAACCATTTATGCTCATGTCCACTAATGCAGATTAACTTTAATCTCGGTTCAATTTACTCTTTGTCTTTTTCTAGTTATAAAAATTAGAAAAAGATAATAGTAAGTTAAACCGAGATTAAAGTTAATCTTTATTGATGGAAATTAAAGTTACGTCATATGAACAATTGGTTAACTCTTTCTTCATATGGGATCGATTTCTAGCAGCATGGACAGAGCTTTAAGCTATCAAAATTGATATAACAATATGACAATATAAATAAAATATGTTATTGTTAGAAAAATATAATTATATGAAAATATAAGACTTGACATTATTTTGAGACACTTTTCAATTTATTTCTTAATCTTATTTACTTACTGTTTAATAGCATTTAACGACATTTCTTCATCAAATAGAAATTGTTAATTAAATGTCATTTCTAACTCATCATCAATATTGAGAAATTCCTTATACAAAGACTTATCGAAAGTAGCAAAATTAAAAATCTCGTGTGACATGACGTGTTTTATACGTATCCTTTATAAATAATTAAACAGAAATAGCTTTATTTTAATAGCAAAAGAAATATTTATATATACAATAACTAAATAGCTTACTATATTATTTCCATTCAACTGAATTAATAACCAAATCTCGCAGATTCAACATGCTGTTATTACAAAATAAAGACCAGTACTCACATATAATTATTTATGTTAGTTTTTTTTATTATTTACGTCTCTTGTCACTTTCGCTGCTCATCGAAAAGCACTCGTGTGCTTCAAATTTCTCGTCTCTACAACCACAGATCTTCTATCCTTATTTTTAGTTCATGTACTCGATATTCAATTGAACCTTCAAAGGCGGGATAGGAACAGCGAACGTTTCACAAGCACGGTCAACAACGGAATCAACACATTGTACGTTGCAGTCGTTCAAGTTTGAATTTTTCCCATGCCTCGCCCGGATTGGTTGTGTTGTTGCTAGCCGGGGCATGAGCCGGGGTATGAAGTTTCGTTTCGCGCATGCGTATCGTATCGCAAGTGAAATACCTTTGCAGATCTGCTTCTTTTTCTGATGGTTTCTAAAAATTATATAAAAGTTTGTCCGCGAATTTCAGTAATAGATAATATTATTTTCTTCTCATACATTTCCATTACTTTACTAACGCTTTGCTATTAAGATTTTTACTCCCCTAATATCGCACACGAAGAATTATTTGTTATCGCAAAACGTATGCACGAAAAATCCGACAGATCGTAATTCATTCTGATTAACTGACAAATAGCATATGTGCGTTTTTAATAAGGGGAGAGAGGAGAGAATTTAAAAAATTCCTACGTCAATATATGCCTAGAAAATATATCCCGCCATAAAAATTTCAAATTCTCTTAATTTCTATAGAACTTTAAAAAAGTTAGTAGTAAATTATTATATATATGAATCACGAAAATTAAAATAATTTCTAGAACAGAATTTTTATATAATTTACATTATATCGCAAACTCTTTTCAACACCATCAAAATGTGTGAAAATTTGAAGACATTATTGATAAACGTACAATATTTTATATGAAAATATGATTTATTTGATAAATAAGATATTTTTAATCATTGGTTTAAAAATATTCGTGCCTAATTATACGGAAATATTATAATTTTGCTATTATTTTAGACAGTGCAAAAAAGTTTCGTTTCTTTATTTCTCAGCCAATTGTATCAATAGTCTCGTTTCACTAACTGTAATAAAAACTTCTTAGTCAAAATGTTTCGTACTATAATAAATTATTAGTTTGCTACATAAATACAATCTTAATCCAAAGCTCTCTAAATAGAAAGAAAAAATTAAATAAAATAAATAGTTCATAAACTTCAAAACGTTCGTTATATCGACTGATGAAACAATTGGCTATATTTTCTTATATTAATACAACTATTATGTTTTATGAAAATTGATCCAATTCCAGTGATTCTTCTTCCCGTTGCTCCAATTCCTTTACAGCTTTTTCTAAAGCAAACAAATGTTCATCTTGCACACCAGGAGCTATCGTGCGCATCGCGGATGCCAGTTTATAGAGATATTCTACATTAGATCCACTGATGCCACGTGAAACAATTATGTGTCTCGCAATGGTATCTACGTTCTCCATACCAGCAAAATTTGGATTATCTTCTTCACCTATATAAATAGTGAGGTAGAACGGAGTTTCATCCGATGCGGTCGAAAGCGATACCGTTGAAAAATTCATCCTTGAGAGATCATTCAGAGACATATTGGCATTCGAACCACTTTGGATAGACTTGGAAAAATCACAGGGATAGAAGAGGACGGTTTTTTTAATGTAACCACCTTTCTCTCGGAAATCCAAATGATTCACTACGTTTTCTATATTCTGGGAAGATATTTTGTATGCGAGTCCCCACACTTGGTCGTCAGGATTAGTAGAGGCGAGTAACGTCACCACACGTCCAGGCTACAAGAAGAGAATGAAAATGAAGCTAATGTAAGGAAAAGCAATTGCATCTTGCCTACCCTATTAGGCACGCCTCTGTGATCGGTACTCTTTTGATAGAAACGCCTGATGTATCCTTTAATGTAACCGACGAGCTTTTTCTCATACGGAAAGTCTGCTTTCCATATTAAGGAACCATAACCAAACACCCACATGCTCGGCATGCTCACTCGTTCAAGACGCGTCGGTCGAAAGATTTCTCTTTATTATCGAGGCAACAATGACGATCACGTCATGCACCAATGTAGATTTTCTCTAATCTCTCGGATGATGAGCTCGTCTTTTAATCCCGTGGCATAACTTGCAGACAATTCCGCTCCAAAATTATGCTCCATGCTACGTGCAACGCGTCCGATACGTTTTACAATATAACCTATTTATCTGTCACGATGTACACGTGTGACAAGTGAGATTGCCACATCGATAATTGGCCAATTTAATATAGAATTTTCCGATTGGTTGATCTAGTGGAAAAACTCCAAGCACAGAACTCCTCCCACACGAATGTTGTGACACGTGCGCGCTGCACGAAAATACAAAGCGATACAATGCGTGCATATGAGGAGGATTAGCACGAATAATTGTGATAACGGTTGCTAACACCTTAATACATTTATATTTATGATGAAGTAATGTAATTTTTATTATATATGAAATGATTCCATTGTTGTCACGTACAGAGATCCTCGCTATTCGATGCGTAAAAAACGCTGTACTTGTAGGTTAGTTACGAGTTAGTTAATATAATTACACAATAATTACACAGTTTATGTAATATCAATTTAATACAAATAATTTTTAGAAAAATTTTGTATTAATATTATATAAATAATTCTTTTTCAAAATTAACAAAAATTTTGGGGGCTAATATTTAGAGTGCTCAAGATAAATTTAATAAAATTATAAATTTTTTTTAACTCTGTATAGAAAACGCTTGTTTATTATCGCAGGTATGGGACCTACTCTCTATGTATTCAGGGATTGCAAATTTCAGTGCAAATTGGATTGTCTGTATCCAAATAATATACATGGTATTGTAGTAGGAAGGAATAACATATTAGCTGTATTTGGTGCTAAATCCATATGCATTTGCAAACTTGTTGAAATAGAGCGTAATATAAGGTAATATAATTATATACATGGTATATCAAAGCCAAATACCAACATGATTTATAGATAAAAATAAGAATTATTTGAGATATAGACTTATATAGAGACTATGATCTATATATGTATATAACTGTTTTTCATTATTTTATTAAGAGAGCATATTAGAACAATTTTTTAAACCTGGAATATATTGTATGTGACATACAATAATATTTTTTTGTTCTACATGTGTATATAGAATTAGAAAACAAAGTACTGATCAATTTAATGATTGGATAATTGCTGCAAAGTGGATATCATTTAAAGAAGAAGTACGATTGGCAGTTCTATTTGCCCATAATTATATATCTATATATGATATATTTAATAAAACTTGTCAAATTATACGTTGTGAAGAAACATGCATTCTGTATCCTTTCATACTTTTCATTAATTAATTTCTTACAGAGATAATTGATATAAAAAACATAATAATTTTCTTAATTAATATCTAGTTATGGCGGCTCTATATCAGGAACTTCTCAAGAAAATTTAGTTATTTTTAGTGGAACTGTATTTCAAGAAATTTTAATATGGAAAGTAAACAATAGATATCATGACGTTAATAAAAGAATGCCAGTTTTGCATCGTTTAACAGGACACAAGGTTGGTAATTATAATACATTTGACATGAAAGAATAAAATTTTTAAATAGAAATCTTGTAAATTTTTATTCTAGGGTGTTATTTTCTCTGTTATTTGCGATCTGTCTTCACGATTTATTTGTTCTACGTCTGATGATAGAAGTGTTCGATTCTGGAAAATAACAGAACATGGCGATTCCAAAAGCAACAATATAAACTGGCAAACAGTAAAAATAGAGCCAATAAAAGCAATGTTTATGCATACAGCAAGAGTTTGGAAAGCTTTAATTAGAAATGACATTGTTTTAACAATAGGAGAGGTAAGGTTTCAATTATTTCTATATGTGAAAGTTGCTATTTATTTTTATGTATATTTAAAAAAATGTTTACTGTTTCAGGATTCACTTATATGTACATGGTCGTTCTCGGGTAATTTACTTAATAAAGCTTACTACAAAGCTCCTATATGGAGTATTGATGTGTCTGAAGATAATATAGTATATGTAGGCGGAGGTGATGGATCTGTACATATGCAACCTTTTGAACATTACAAAAACCTAGAAACAATTTTTCTACCTGGTGTCTATGATACATGTAACTTTCCTAAATACGTTTCTTATTTGCATGATGGCACAATTTTAGTCTTTACCGAATTGGGATCACTTCTACACTACAACAAAGAAATAATACTTAAAAATTCTATATACTTAACAAAAGAACATTATTATATCATGCAAGTTTCTCCAAAGCGAAACTTTGTTGCCCTTGCATCTAGAGATGGTTATGCAATAGTATACGAAGGTAGGGAAATATTTATTAAAATAAAAATTTCTTAATAATAACAATAAATTTTTAATTCTGTTTCTCCAGTATAAATATATTATTGTTTTTATTTTCAATTTTTTAATTAATAAAATTAAATAATTGATAATATATTTTTAGAGTATCTTGGGACTTTACAACAATTTACAGAGGAAAAGAAAATAATGGATTCGCAAATTTTTTCTTTGCAATGGTTAAATAATTCCGACTTGATTGCATGTGGTGCAAATGGTCTTTTGAAGTTATTGAATGGTATGTAATCATTTATGTAAGTGTGTATCATAAATCATAAGGTGTATTTTAGAACATATACAACATTATGATTTTATATAGGCAATCTTACAATTCACGCGGAATGTATATTACCACCTAGTCGAGAACGTTGGTTGACTGCAGCTATAATCTATAAAGATATTACTCCTGTGAACTATGGCACATCATATAATTTGTTAATATGTGGGGATAGAGCTGGAAATATTTATGTATACGATCTGAAATATATACATTTTAACACAGTTATTAACACAGATATTAGTAGAAAACCTATTCAAACACTTAATAAAATTCATGGCAAAATAGGAGTCCAATCATTTTGTACATGTGGAGAAAACTTGATAACGTCTGGACGTGATGGGATGTTGAGATTTTATCAAATACATTTAATAAAAGATTCTTCTATCCACACGAAACCCTTGGTAATGCTGCATAAAAAAAAGATGCCAATGGATTGGATTAGTGGCATGTTAAAAATGAATATGACAAGAGTAGGCGAGATGAAAAGAAATGAGATTTTTTTTGTATTTGGTTTTAAACAGGTATAAATCGAAAATTATATACGTATATATATACGCACGCGCGTATATGCACGTATAAAATAATAGAAAACCTTGCACAATAATACATTATATCTCTTATAATATTTTCAGGTAGAATTTATAATATATAACTTACTGAATGAAAACATAGTCGTCAGAATTCCTTGCGGCGGCGGTCATAGATCATGGGACTGTGTAATATCGCACACAAACGCCAGTTTTGCTTACATAAAAAATAAACAGGTTCATGTTTGTGATATGGCTTCTTCTGTTTTTCTTTCACAGTCTGTTTTACAGGTAAGTGATTTTAATTTATTACAAAGAAAATAAATGTGCAAACCTCTCTCTATATTTATGGTTTTTTTTATATCTAGAATGGATTTCACCTTAAAGAGACATGTTGCTTGCGATACATTGCAATTAAGCAATCAAATCATCGAGAAAATATTTTTATATCTGGTAGTGAAGATTGCACTCTTCGTATCAACAGTATTTGCGAATACGATTTCCAGTGGAATATTTTCAAAAATTTAGGAACTTTTAATGGCCATCTTTCGGGCATAAAATGCCTAAGTGTTATTGAATTAAACACGTTAAATGAATCTGAGTTTCAATATCTAGTCTTTTCTGGTGGAGGAAGAGCACAATTGAAGATTTGGAAGCTAAACTTCAACTTCCAAGGAGTTGATCCAAGAAGTCCACATTCAATAAAGAAACTAAATATGTCATGTTTCGATATGAATTCTCATATGCTCTATAAACAAAATCAGTATTGTAAAAAACCGTGGCAGGAAGCTAAACAATCCTGTATTGAAGAACCAGAAACACGTTACATGGATATTTATGCTTATTATTCTAAATTAAATTGTGTATTAGTCTTTATAGCTTGTGCAGATGGGTACTTAAGGTAACGTGCTTGTTTCATTAAGAATGATATATTTTTTTATAAGGATTATAAAATAATATTCCTTTTTTCTCTCTATTGCAGACTACTTGTATATGATATTGTAACTAACAACATATATTTGAAGGTATCTACTAAATACATAGACCGTTGCATTTTGAAGATACATGTATTATTGTACAAATCCAAAGTAATTGTATTAACAATGAATACAGACGGGAAGTTACGTTTTTTCGATTTTACCGACATGGTCTCGAAAATACACGAGGATGCAAATTCTGGAAACCAAAATATTATGAATTTCAATGATATCCCTTTCGCAGAATTTAACTTGCACCAGTCAGGAATTAATTGTTTTGATTTAAAGGATATGAATGAAAATAAATATCTTTTAGTTACTGGTGGCGATGACAATTTACTCAATGTCACTTATTTTCAAATTTACATATCAGAAGATAAACTATTAGCTGAAATATTATCTAAATGGAATACAGCGTCTGCACATTCCACACAAATCATTGGTGAGTTCATGCATACATTAAGACAGTTTTTAAGGTAAAGATATATATATTGTATATACCATATAAATCTTAAGATATTTATAAAAGTGTACCATACCAACAGGTGTGAAATTGAAAGACAATACAATATGTAGCGTAGGAATAGATCAACAAGTTATTACATATAATTATTCATGTTCCAATGGAGTTGTACATGTAGATATCTTAAATCATGTATTTACATCAGTTACGGATGTGCAAGGCATAGAATTATATAGTTATCCCAAGTAAGTTTAAAAATATATTGGATATTAATTACATCCTCTTTATTTCACTATTTTTACAAATATTAATGTTAACAGTCATGATAACAGTTGGAGCGACTTTATTTGTATATATGGACGAGGATTTGAAATATTATCCATTTGCAAAAAATGATCCTTTTGGTGCTCCCGACAATTTCTGAAAGTTGGTTGAATATATATATAGTATTATGTATACATTTATCTATTTGTAATACTTAATATTGTGTAAATATAAACTAAGTTATTACACATTTAAATATGTGCAAGGATAATCGATTATTTCCTATACCTTTTTTATCCAACCAGAGGAAGTGTTTTGCCATTTTATATACATACCAAGTTGTGCAAACTACGCTTAAATATAATATACAGGACTTGTAAAATATATTGAACTCTAATTATGTGTAAATATAGTATATATAATGTAAAAATCTTGAAAATAAATAAAATTATTTACTTGTTTAAGATATTCGAAACTTCTAAATTTTAAGATATAAGAAAAATAACATTTTTGAACTTTTCAAATATTAAAACAACTCGTACGTTCACGCAATTACATTTATTAAAAAATTTTTAAAAGATGGTATATTCGAATGTTTCCTTTTTAATTTGGGTCACTAACCGTTACTGTCGTTAGATGTCAGTTTAATCGTAAAAAAAATGGCAGTACAGTGTATATTTTGACAGCTAAACATTATCGTGCGACATTTCTTGATGATAATATTTATAAAAATTGCATGACATATTTAATTATATAAAGATGTCAAGTATTACGATATCAGCCATAAGACCGCGGACCAGTATCCTCGATAAATCCTTGAGTAAGGGTAAAGGAGAGGTTAGCTTGAGTTGTTTTGCCCTCTTATTCTCTGAATTAGTGCAATATTGTCAAAACAGAGTCTATACTGTTCCAGAGCTGCAGAATAAGTAAGTAGAGCAAATTATTCTTTACCATATATTATCTTGTATTTTAAAAAATATTGTCTGATGTTGTAACTAGACTGGCAGAGATTGGAGCAGAAGTTGGGCACAGGATAACAGATTTACTCGTTGTACGAGAAAAGGGTGGCAAACGCGAGATAAAGCTACTTAATGTACTGCTGTTTGTCAAAAGTACGGTGTGGAAGTCCTTATTTGGTCGAGAGGCTGATAAATTGGAACATGCAAATGATGACGAACGTACTTATTACATCATCGAAAAGGAGTCCTTGGTAAACAAATTTGTGTCGGTACCCAAAGATAAAGGAAGCTTGAACTGTGCATCCTTTGTCGCTGGTATTGTGGAGGCTGTACTTTGCGATTGCGGCTTTGTAAGCAGCTTCAATTATCTATTTTTTTTTAAGAATATATCTATTAATTTTTAACAAATCCAAGTGTAATCTTCTTATGAACTCTCTTACTTTCCAAACACAAAAAATATGGATCGGCGGATCAGGCAATTAAGAATCAAACGTGGTTCTTAATACGTAATTGTCTATTTATTCATAAAAATCTTGAACGTTTTGACTCTCTTTGGAGTCATCTTCAGCATACATAATCGCTAAACATCCTTGAAAATTTGAGACAACGTCACCATCAGATTAACCGATCTGATCTACTAATACATTAAGCTAAAATTAAATAATAATCAAAGATGGTGACTCACCTCAAATATCAAAGAAAAGTCATATTCACAAAAGTATCGATTAACATCACAAATTTATAATTTAGGAATCATTGTTAATTAACATGTACAAAGTCTTCACATACAAGTCTTAAATATAACTGACTTAAAAACAGTTTAACTTTTTTAAAGTTGTCTCAAATTTTCAAGAATGTTTAGCGATTATGTATGCTGAAGATGACTCCAAAGAGAGTCGAAACGTTCAAGATTTTTATGAATAAATAGACAATTATATATTAAGAACCTCGTTTCACTCTCAATTGCTCGATCCATCGATCCATATTTTTTGTGATTAAGTTTTAAGTTTGCATTTATACTTTTATAGGACAAAATTTATAAATATTTTAAATATTATTGCAGCCTGCTAAGGTAACAGCACATTGGCATAAAGGAACTACATATATGGTTAAATTTGATGATGCTGTTGTCGCACGTGACAAACAATTAGAAGATCGATAATAGAAAGAAAATAAATATATACGTTGTTCTTTCTATGAAGATAAAGATACTTACAAATATTTATCAATGATATAAATTACTCATTATTGTGATAAATCTATAGTCCTTAATTATTGTGTTAAATTCATATTTTATGTGTGTACCTTTTATATTGAATAGTATCACTCTTCGAATTTTCATAACTATACATTAATAAAATCTTTTTCTTATTTCTTTTAATGACATACATTGCATTTAACCTTGATTTCTTCTATAAGTTTATTTTATACAATCTAATGTTAAGTTAGGTACATCAACACTGCATGTTTTATTAAAATAATCAATCTAACAGAATCTATGTGGTCTGCTTGCATAATCGATTTGCCCAGTACGATACATGTGTTCTTTTTTAGCCTATGAAAAAAATATAATACAATTTACATATTAATATTTTTACATCAGTTTTTGTATTTTATGTTTTTCAAATACAAAATACTTACCCTTCCAGTTTTTAACATTAATCCAGTTAAGATAATAAGACCTGCAATTACTCCAAATCGCGAGAAGAATCGTGTCACTGTAGGTACAAAGTGCATCTCTACCGATGCTTTTGCGGCAGCGAATCGATATATTCCTGTATCAAACTATATTTGTAGAATGAGTAATCATATAATAATTTATTAAAATTGATTTATATAATTATTGTAATTTATAATACAAGATTAATTGACACATTAATCGATTATTTGTTACTTTAAAATCAACAAAGTACTAAAAGTACAAAGGTACAATAGATAGTTTCCACTATTGCCATGTTTCATTAATTTGTTACATAATTTCTGTATAGACAATTCTGAGTGTAAAGTGTACATAATTGATTAAATTTTTGCATACACGCACATATATATACATATATTTGCGTTTATAAATCCTATTCAATTTTTTAATTCTTATTATTACATTTATTATTTTTAGTAATAAATACTATATTTTATGTTCTTTAAAAAAATATTGAGTATACTTGAATCGAGGAATACAAAGATCAGAACAACAAATTTATGCGAGTGATAGAGCAAAATACTGTTACGCAATAAATGACAACAATGAATACAATCTGTCAGTACATAAATGAAACATAAATAGACGTAAATATTGCCCAGAGCCAAGTATCGCTAATATTTGTAGACTTATAGGTTAAGTTAAATGCCCGGGTGTGTATACGTACAAGAAGGCTTTTGGTCGGGTGTCCTGAATCTCTTAGATATATTTCGCGTAACTGCTTCCGTTTCGCATCTTTCCACAACGCGATTTCGCGTTGCTCCGGCGTGAGATCGTATATCTTTTTCGACGACATGATTTAGAATTTTATAACCTTACCTCCGTGACCCGTCCCTTCACCCTTCACTCAATCGTTGCGTTTCTCTACCTTACCTTGCGAACAGATATGTAACTTTTACCGATCGCAATCAATATAGTAATCGCGAAATAAGAAATATTTTCTTATTGGAGCTGCCCTGTATTATTGATGAAAGCGTTTTTTTTTCACGAATAAAATTTTTTTTTCATAGAATAAAAATTTCTTTTTCAAGATTAAAATATATATGCTAATGTACCTGCACCTGGTGTATTTCGTGTCCAAAACTGTATAAAAAATTACAAATTTTCTTTATCCATTTTTACTTTCAGCTGGTTGCAATATTTAAGGTAAAAAAATAAATTTAAAAAATCTGTAATTTTTTATTTTTTTCCAGTTCTTACTATTTTTTTACAAGACAATGAGATACAATCTAGAGACACGGTAGTGTCTCGGCAATAAGACATAACATGAGACACTTATTATTTTACTTGTTATTTACTGATTGTTAAAAAAAGACAAAACAGTAAGTAATCATCTAAATTTCTAAGGTTCTAAAAATTTTTCACGTTTTTGTTCCTATCCAATTTCGTCGTATATGTATAGTTTCATAGAATAAATATTTCTTTTTCAAGATTAAAATATATATGCTAATGTACCTACACCTGGTGTATTTCATGTCCAAAAAGCTGTATAAAAAAAATAAAAAATTACAAATTTTCTTTATCCATTTTTACCTTCAGCATTGGTTGCAATATTAAGGACGTTCTCCGAAAAATCCATTTTCTTTAAATTTTTCTAAAACTTACAGAAAAAGCTTAATTGTTTAAGTGTTCTGAACACGTGTTTTGAAGCTCAGTACCCGGGAGCGGGATTAAAAATCGAGATATTCCACTTCAAAGTTGAAGCATATAGGATCCCTATCTGAAATTTATTTCAAAGTGGTCTTTGTATTCACTGTAAAAAAGTGTTTCTTTACAATTTTTTGAAACAAAGAGATATAAAACTTGATATCACATTACTTTCTGCGTGTAGAGGCGATTGCGTGGACGCGAATAAACTTTAGGTTGAGCACAACTGCAGTCGAAGAACGTCCTTAAGGTAAAAAATAGATTTAAAAAATCTGTAATTTTTTATTTTTTCTACTTTTACATATAGTGTCTCGGCGATATAAGACATGGCATGAGACACTTATCATTTTACTTGTTATATTTACTGATTGTTAAAAGACAGGGTTGGGTAGTAACTATAGTTAAAACGTTAAAAGTTAAAAAAAAAGTTAAAAAGTTAATAACTTTTAACTTAACTTAGTTAATTTTAAATGCATTAAATTTTAACTTAACTAAATTACTTTTAAATGCATTAAATTTTAACTTAACTAAATTACTTTTAAACGTTAACTTTTTAACTTCTTTTTTAAGTTAAAAAATTTTTTTATTTCTTTTAAATATCTTAGAAAAATAATAAGATATAATAAGACTAAGGCCGGAATCCGAACATAGTTTAAATCTCAAGGTGTTTTAAGATGCTAATACAGCCCTCTAATTGGCTTATGCCTTATGTTATAAACCTTAGTCCGGATCTACAATAAGTGTTTTAAACCTTAAGTCATAAGAAATTGCCTAATTACAGTCAAATATTCTTCTCGTATTCGAATTTAATTGATCAATTTCTTATGGTTTAAGACTTATTAAAAAGTAAACCTAATAATCTATATTGTAGTTATTTAATCTCATTTTAAGAAAAATTAGGACATTTTGATCTAAAAAATAATTTTTTTCGAAATTATAACTTTTTTTTCAACTTGAGTTAATTCAATATTGATTTAACTTACGTTAAGTTAATTTTTTATTCCTTCAACTTTTAACTTAACTTTATTAATTTTGTAAAGCCGTTAACTTTAACTTTATTCAGTTAAAAAAAAAAACATTAATTTACCCAACCCTGTTAAAAGAAGACAAAACGATAATCATCTAAATTTCTAAGGTTCTAAAAGAAAACAGCTCATATCAAATTATTTGAGAACATTGTGAAGAAATAGTAAATACTCGATATAAATAATGATATAAAAGAAAAGCAGCTCATATCAAATTATTTGAGAACATTGTGAAGAAATAGTAAATACTCGATACAAATAATGATATTATCATGCATCGGTTGCATCATTCGATTTATTATCAAGTTCAAATGAAACTAAATATGATATAAACCTCGTGACAAGTTCAATCATCGTGTGTTATCATCGTTTCCGCTTTGAAATAAGAGAGCCGCATCGCACCATCCCCTCACAAGTATGATTGTGAATCTGGGTTACTCCATATCGTGGTCACATGACTGTCGCAGTTCGCACTAAAGTCGCGACGTCACGATCGTCGTGTCTCACTCTGTGCAAGCTCAAGTAAAACGATACGGAAGATTTCAACTCAACGAACTCGGTAAACAACGGATCTGATGCGTAGTTGATGACCGATGTACCAGACGACGCCAATGGACTCTTTTGTCATTGAATCACGTGGTCTACGGTGGCGGAAAGTAATAACGGGGAGAAGGAGGAATACAAAAGAACGTCGCTTCTAGACGGAAGTTGTGATTTGTCATTACGTTCCTGTTAGTTGCTGTTAGTCTCAGGCTCAGGTAATCTCCCAGCAGCATCCAGCAGGAACTAGAAAGAGCTTGTAAGTGTAAACACGTGTATCTACTAATCCATTGTTCACGACGCTCGATCAAGATACGCAATCCGTTTGCTTCCAGCAACAGTCTTAATTTCGTATTTCTTCTATTTCGTTTGTGTGTGTGTGTTTTTTTTTTAATTCTAAATTATTGAAAGTTAAATAGGTGCGTATTTATAGCGGAAGAGTCCAATTTGCGTAACTGAAATACGAACTGTAACGAATGATTCCAATTTTCTTTGTTTCTTTTCCTGCCATGTCATTAAATATTTATACATAATACGGTAATGCTCGTTTAGATCTTCGTAAAGATTTAATTTGTGCGTATCTAATCCAGAGGACTACGTCATGTTATATTACTAATATGAAAGAGTATCGTTTAGGCTAATCGAGAACGTCACGAGATACGAGGTCGAGCATCTTTGTCACGATTCATAAAATTTGCTCTATCTTTTTTTAATTTTTTGAACTCAAAAAAGATAAAAAGTGTATTAAAATTAATCCATATTGGTAGGAACGGATGTAAAGGAAAAAAAAATTAATTAATGTTAATCTTGAAAAAGTGCAACTAGCAAACAACTTCATAAAAAAGAAGTTAATGCAAATTATGTGATGGTTTTGCAATCATTGTGTTTAATGTGTTTTTTCTGACGCTCTGTCTTCATGTATTAAATAAAGCAGAAGTAGAAAATGTTGACTATGGAAGTTAGGATGATGTAATTTCTTTGTATATTCATATTGCTTATGATATATAAACTAAAAAATGTGAAATCAGTATCGTGCAGAAATAAATATTACTATATTGTCCATCATGGTGGCTATATCATATATTTATTCTTTTGTCTGTTTAATAAATTTTAGAAGATAATGGAGGGTGCATTCCATTTCACGCACAATGTGCATGGTGTATCATTTATACTTGTTGTTCACCGAATGTTAAACAAAGATAAATAATGCATTATACACGTCATGCGTGAAACAGAATGCATCCTGAGAATTTAATATTTTATCATTACACATCACTCGTGTACAGTGAGGGACTAAATTGCAACACTTTTTTGATGGGTTTCAGAATGTAGCCTATTCACTGATTAGTTGTTACGTATGGATCCATAAATAAGAACCAATTGCTCCATGAGTAAATTGCATTCTATCTAAGAAAAAGTGTTGCAATCGTTTAGTTCCTGACTGTACTTAAAATAAATGCTTGGAACATAAAATTATATAATAACATGCTCAGAAACTAGAGAAACTTGGTTAAATACATATATTACTGTAACTTTTAAATATATATATTTTGTAATTATAATAATTGAATATCAAGACAATTTGGACAGCATTGCGATGGAGACGTACATTTATAAACCTTTTTTTTCATACATGTATTTACCACGTGATTCAATAAATCTATTTATCATGTCGAATGATAGCAAACGCGTCTAGTGCGTAATTGAGAGATATCAAGAACATTTTTTTGTTTCTGTTTTTTTTTTTAAAGAAAGAATTCGTATAATCATGTATTTCGTCATTTCAAGGAAAAGGAGATAACATTCAATGTACATGTATTCGTGACCTATCAGTGTCATCGATTTTGTGCATAACTTTGTTTTTAAAGTGCTATTAGGTAGATTGATACAACAGTAAACTATGCTATAGATATATGAGAGTAAAGGACATATAAGAGTGAATTTTTTAAAATTAGTGAACATAATACAACGTTTATTACATTAACAGTTTATTATAATAAAATAGTAATATATGTAAAAATCATTAATAGTCTCTAATTTCGGTGATATCACATATTTCGGCATCTTGATCATGTCATCGTCAGATATTTGTGAAGAATGCAGTAATAAAATTGATTTATCTAATTCGCAGACGTATGAAGGAGTTATTAGGTACGTAATATATACTTACAACAATCGGTCTTCCAATCATTTACTAAGAAACCAAAATATATAATATCAATAGAATGTTAATGATTTATACATATATATATATATTAGAATTTTATTATAGATCATTATTAATGTAATAAACGTTGTATTATTTACTACTAAATTTAAAAAAAATTGATTTTTATATGCTCTTTATTCTCATTATATTGTTGTTAGAAATAAAAGAGTCTTTCTCACATATACATGTATAATACAAATATATGCGGCTAATATCGAAATCTTATCACATTCTTTTGTTTAGACAATTAGAAGTCTACAGATAAAAGTTTGAGAATGTAGATGGAGATCGGAGTATCTTTAACGCGCGCGCGCGCGTGTGTGTCTGTGTTTACCAATTATCTGTGATTAACCAATTAGTCATAGTTTTCTAAAACCGAATTTATTAGAGATTTTTTTAACTTTAATAACTTGAGCCAAAAATACTTTAAGATTTAACAATAATTTAATAACTTTTTCACTTCTCAGCTAAAATATTCAGAAAACATCCAACAGAATTTGAAATTGACATGAAAGGAAGAACTTTGATAAAGAACTCTGACCATGAAACTTTTTGTATAAGTGCATGTAAACATGTATGTGATTGATTCGTAAATGATACGAGCTGTTTCAGAGCTCATTGTTTGACGCGCTACAGCAAGGTCGAGATTTCGAGATCTGTTATATTATTCTCCACACGATCATGCGTCTCTCGTGTGTTCCATTGAAACAGAGGATCATATTATCTGCACCTGGGTGCAATCTAAGTTGGCATAGAGTAATTATTGTTGTGTCATCACAATAATTTTACCGTATATTGTGTTTTCCGTCGCGAGAAATATGAATCATTGTTGAAATCACAGCATGAATGGCAGGATAATCAAATGAACGATTACTTCGAAGGCTGCAACGTACACGTGTGCACACATACACATATATACATATCCAGGAGAAAAAAATAAATTGTTGAAACTGCAAATGGTTAGAAGCAAAATTGTCATCATTTGATTGACTTCGAGGCATCTTTTGCGCACAATTGCATAATATTATATTGATATTTGATATGCATATTACTTCTGACAGTGTAGGGTGCGTTGTTTTTTTTCGTGGAGAAGCTCGTTTCTTATCAAAAAACAAAATGTTTCTTTGGAATACAAAAATTCTTGGTGATAACTGTGGTATAAAAAAAAAGGACAAATGGTTACGCAATATCTTTTATGAAATTTTTCTGCAATTTTCAATTTTGATCAAGACAAAGTTTTGTTATGTTAATAATATTTCTTTCTTTCTCTTATGTAAATTTTGAGCTCCGCTCTTTCAAGCTAAGGCTAAAGACATGACCATTACTAGTTCAATAGGTTATATTTGATATTGCAATATAAAAGAAACTTAGTCAATTTTCTAAATAAGATTGAATGAGTGATCGAAAGTAGGGTAATTTTTTAATCTACAATGTAAAATTAACTTTTTTGTTTCATGTATATTTAACCTATATTATGTTATTGAAATAATCCTTTTTGTAGGCAGCTTAATTGAAGAATAAACATGAAGAGTGTGATAGCCTTGATGTTACTGGCAGTTCTTGCCACAGGACAGGCTATTTCCTTCAACAAGATCTTGGATGCAGAATGGTTTATTTTTAAGGTATAAAAGCGTTGTATTTATAGTAGAGCTTAAGATTATTATATCTACCGTAATGTTTACTTTAAAGAGTTAAATAAGAGTTAAAAATCTAGCCTTACATATTCAGTTACTATTCTTTATGAATAATTATACTGACTTGGATACTTTGTTTATCAGGTATAGATTTTTTTTGAATGTTGTATTGCAGATTAGTTTTTTATGCAGAATATATTTCATATTAAACACAATGTGATTAAATACTTGTTAAGAAAATACAGAAATCACTGTGGAAGAAATTCTCGAATCTAATTATTAAGTAAAATTAATAAATTTATTTAAATAAAAAACAAAATAAATATTTATTACAATGTTTATTATTTTAAGACGCATCATAAAAAAGTCTACAAATCTTCGGTTGAGGAAGGATATAGAATGAAAATTTTTTTGGATAACAAACGCAAAATTGTGGAGCACAATCGCAAATATGAGTTGAATGAAGTTTCTTATCAATTGGGAATGAATAAATACGGAGATATGGTAAGTTTCTGTGAAGCATATTATTTATTTCATAAAGTGAGCAATTTTTCGTGAAATGCATTTGCATATTTTTCTTACAGTTGCATCACGAATTTGTCAATACTTTGAATGGTTTCAATAAGTCAGTCAACGCTCAAAGGCAATTCTTAGGAGCAACATTTATCTCGCCAGCTAATGTCGAATTACCAAAAGAAGTCGATTGGAGAAAACACGGTGCTGTTACAGAAGTTAAGGATCAAGGACATTGTGGCTCTTGCTGGGCATTCTCTACTGTAAGCCTCTTTATTAAATACCTTTAACCGATAGGATTGAACATTGCTTATTGTCTTTTTTTTCTTGCAGACTGGATCTTTGGAAGGACAGCATTTCAGACAGACCGGTGTTTTAGTATCACTTAGCGAGCAAAATCTGATTGATTGTTCGGATAACTACGGCAACAATGGATGCAATGGTGGTTTGATGGATTATGCCTTTCGATATGTCAAAGACAATAAAGGTCTTGATACCGAAAAGAGTTATCCATATGAAGCAGAGGACGATAAGTGCAGGTTTGTATAAATTATTTTGCACGATTAAAAAAACTTACATAAGAATCTAATGATTTATTAAATTCTTGAAATTGTAGATACAATCCGAAAAATAGCGGCGCTACTGATGTCGGCTACGTAGATGTTCCACACGGAGATGAAGAGAAATTAAAGGCTGCAGTCGCTACTATAGGTCCAGTCTCAGTTGCTATCGATGCCTCTCATGAATCTTTTCAGCTTTATAATAAAGGTATGCATATATTTATTTAATATAATTAATACAAGCTAAATTTTTAAAAAATTTGATCTAATGAGTTTATAACTTGTATATAGGACTTTTAATCTTGTAAATTAAAAATGTTTTGTCCATAATGATTAGAGACTAATTTTTGTGTAATAAAATCTGAACTCTTGTGTCCTTACTTTCTTTTTATTACAATTTTTTTATATTTTTAGGAGTGTATTACGATCCTAACTGCAATGAAAACAATTTAGATCATGGTGTGTTGATCGTCGGCTATGGTACAGACTCAAAAACCGGTTATGATTATTGGTTGGTAAAGAATAGTTGGGGTGAAACATGGGGCGAACATGGATACATCAAAATGGCCAGAAACAAGGACAATCATTGTGGTATAGCAAGCAGTGCCAGCTATCCTATCGTTTAACTGCCGTTGATAATTAACTTTTTAGTTGTGATCTACTAATTCAGAACATGACAGTTTTATGAGAGGCCTAATAAAGTTTTGCATATTTTAGGATAAACTTTTATATTGTGTTTAATGTATATATGATTCTTAAAATCATATTTTTAATCCGAATGTAATTAAAAAAATTGGCATTCTCTCCTACAACCAATTTTCCTGTTTTACTACGTTATGACAGGAATTACAAAGTATTTTACAGCGTTTTCCTAACTTTCTTAGGTCTCTATAGAAATTAGTTCTTTCAAATAAAGACAAAAGAGAAATATTCGCGAACTTTGCGAAAATTATAAGCTTCGAAAATGATTCGTTGTTCATCGTTTTAACATGTTTATTAATTTTAATAGCTTAATGATAATTGAGGGGCTAGATTCTATAAGGGGATACACATGGATTTCGCGGGATAAGTCTGCAAGGCTAATTTTGGACATCGTTCTAATTTCAATTTTGATTTTTGTAGAAAATTTCATAGCGTATCTTTTTTGTATTTAAATTAAATTTGTAATTTTTTCAAGTTATAAACAAAAAAAGTAATTTTTTTAATGAAAAAATTTCAATAGATTTTTGTGTTCAACTCGCCATATTTCAACCAAATATGAATATTTTTCTTTGAAATTTTAACAGGATAAACTTCAATATGTTTCTCGAAATATAGAGCACATGAAAAGTTTTCGAAACATTTCACAGCCAAATGTCGAATTTTTCAAAATAATCTTCTCGAATTCGTAGTTTTATTCATTCGATCACAAAAGTTATCGTACGAATTTTCGATTTGTCAACTTTTACCGGTACTACAATTTTGTTTATTAGTTAAGGAAGTTTTTTGGAAAGTTTTAGCTCTTTAAATATTATGGTTGTAAAGTAATAACGATTTATGTGTCGATCCGATTACGCAGCGTGCTGCTCGCATCGCGAAAGTTCGAATCCAGCCCCTCAATTGTGGACATGTTACCTTAGGTTATATTTTAATTTTTAATTTTGTTTTCATACACTTTAGAATGATATTAACCGGGATATTTTCTTTTAATATCTCAAAATAAGAATATATTTTATGTAAATTTAATTTTTTCCATTAACCTTTAGACTGCCGGGATTTGAGATATTAAACAGTCCTTTAAAAGTGGCCAAATTTGTATCTTGTATCATGTATCAAATATATACAAAATTCATAGGCCGAGCTAATATATCGGCTTCCCGGCAGCCTTAAGGTAAATCGACATATAAAACTAATAAATAATAAAAAAAAGTCTATATAATTAAGAATTTTAGTAAATATTACACATATCTCGGGTAATAATACAGAATCTAGCCATTATTGCTATACAAGCTGATCTCTATTTTTTAGGAAATGTAAAGGAAAATAAAAAAAATTTTTAATTATGCTATTTTTATTTATCTTGATCTTGTAAATAATAAATTAGATATGCGACATTTAACAATAATGCATCATGTATTCCTAGACAGTTGCAATATGTTTTCTTTTCAGTATTTTTTACTGTTGCTTCTTTTATTCTCGGTAACCGAGAAGAAGATCATTGTTTGTCAAGTTTCCTAACTAACTTGCATTCTCTCATTCTAAAATAATTTTTTTATTTTAGGAACTGAAGATCTTTCAATTTTATGCCTGGTTTATGCTTCAGGTCTTAATCCCAAGATCTTGAAATTCAACCAATAAAACTACCAGTTCTAACCGAAATTTGAACTCTGTTGGCTGAATTTTAGGATTAAGTCCTTAAGACCGAAGCATAAACCAGGCATTAAGCGGGGAGCACAGACTTTTGCATAACGCATAATACATATACATAAAGAATTTGATTGGTCCATTGACTCATGCATAAGAAAATGGGCCAATGAAATTCCTTATGCACATGCTTTATGCATTATGCAAAAGTCTGTGCTCCCCGCTTTAATTTCAAGACCGATCCAAAGTAAAAACTGCTTTTATCGCGATTTTCGAAGATGGACGCTAAGATTTTTTTTTTAGTATATTATTTTTTATTTTTCGTGTAATGTATCATAACAGTTTTTGCAATTGTATATCGTTCAATTTAATCTATTCGTTATCCATATCTTTTGTTTAGTCTTTTTGTCGCAACATGTTTTCACAATTCCTGAAAATTAAATTGATCGAATTGACGATTTGTAATCTCCTCTTTTATATAGAAGGGGGAATAACATTTGTGGCATTGTGATGTCCCTGCTGTCACCAGAAAGAACCTAAAGCCGTGAAGCAAAGCAGTCACCGATTGCTTTGTTCCGATTGGTTGAAAAGTAATCGTCAATCATAATCGCACAATCGCGTGTGATTACGGCTTAAGAGCATCCATCGATCCATCTCAATTTTTTTTCCTTGGATAGGCGATTTCTATCGATTAATCGAATACACCCTTATTTTTGTTTAATTTATCGATTATTTTCACCGATTATTTTTCGTCCGATTAATCGAAAATCAATTTTTTTCATCGGTAAACTGCCACTCACTTAAATTACGTTCAGAAACATCACCCGAGTGCTCTGTGTGTCGTCTTAAAGCTATATCCACACAAACTTGCATAATCGCATAAACGTATGCATAAAGAAAATTATCCAATCATATTTTGCGTGCATTTCTATAAGGGAAATGCGATTGGATAATTTTCTTTATGCATACGTTTATGTAGCTATACAAGTTTGTGTGGATATAGCTTAAGTTGACGCACACACTTTCGTAATGCCTAGTTCACACTATGCGCGATGAGCGATGCGCGACGAGCGATAACCAATAAGAACTCTTCTTTACATCGTCGTGTGAGCTAAAGCAAAGCTTTTATTGGTTATCGCTCGTCGTTCATCGCCCATCGCATCCAGTGTGAACTAGGCATAAGTCCGGATCTACAATAAATGTTTTAAACCTTAAGGTACAATTTCATACTGACGCTTGACGCTTATTTTTAGCGTCAAAACAGATCACGTGATACAAATTGACGAATATTAAGCATCAATTTTAATCACGTGATCTGTTTTGACGCTAAAAGTAAGCGTCAAGCGTCAGCATGAAATTGTACCTTTATGCGTGGTCTACAATGGGCAGTAGCAGTAGTGGATTAAGGAATAGGCGTAAAAATCGACCAATGGACGCGTTCAGCGGACTCAACAGTTGAGTGAGCGCTCGCTGTTATTGGTGTATTCTTCTAGATCTAAAATTCTGATTGGATGATCTAAAAGAATACACCAATAATAGCGAGCGCTCACTCAACTGTTGAGTCCGCTGAACGCGCCCAATGATAGTTAAATTGTCTTCCTCACATTCGACTATGATTTGTTGATTTCTACGCCTACTCCTTAATCCACTACTGCTACTGCCCATTGAAGACCACGCATTAAGGTGCAGCCACAATAGAAGGAATAACCCCGGATCTACAATACGTGTTTTAAGCCCTAAGCTGTAAGAAATTAACCAATTACAGTCGAATTCGAGGAGAATAATCGACTACGATTCGTCCATTCCTTATGGCTTAAGGCTTAAGACTCTATTGTGGATCCGGGCTAAAGCGAGGTTGTGGACCCAGCCTTACGTGACCATGACATATATTCTAACCTCAATATTCGTCAACTTTAATGCTTAATATCTCGGTTCGTGGAGCAGAGCGGCGTTTATTTCTGCCAGATTCTTTCGTTTTATGGAAAAACGCGTCGAATGAGTATAATTTAATCGATTTTTGAGACGGTTATCTTTCATTGCACCTTTACCACCAGACGAACCGAGAATCCAGAAATAAATTCAGTGTCCAAGTATCACAAGGAGTGACAGGATACAAGACGAAACAAAAAGTACGTATATATCTCGTGAATATTGATTATGACCATAGGCTTCTGTTTTTTTTTTCTTTTTAGATCGATTAAAGCGAACCCTCATACAATGGATAGCACAATCTCATCATCTATGCAATCTTCTATTGGGCCATTCACACAGGAACGAGAACTGATACTTTACAAAAACATAAAGATGGTATTATTTTTGAATGTAGAATAGAAAGTACGTTAGTACCTTTTCCTAAAGATATTTTAAATCTGTTGCAGCATCTGCAAGAAATTGAAATAGCCACACAGAATATTAATCAGCAATTCAAAAATATTCATAAAGAAATGCTTGTCACGACAGCTTTGATAAATGCGATTGAATCAAAAAGGATTGAGGAAATTAATACGGATTAATATATTTACAAAGTATTAGGAAATACAGCAGTATATCTCAGGAATGTATAAAATCACTTGCTGAATTTGTGAGTTTGTGCATAAATAATATCAAATACTAGAATCTTTTTAGGATCGTACAATTGATAAACAATAAACAAGAAGAAGGAAGCTAATAGCGGTCAAAGCTGGATCACAAATGCTTATATTATAATTATAATATAATTATATTATAATTAATAAAAAAGTACGGTCCTAAAAAGATTCTAGTATTTGTTAAATCAGCCTGAAAAAAGACTTATTCTCCTACTTTAGATAAATATTGCGAAGAATATTACTACGTCGACCCGCCATCAGAGGTCTATCAATGTTTGCAAAATTTCTCGCAAGTGCTGAGATATATCGCTTTATATAGAATCTCTATTTAATAACTTACACAGACGTCTAAGGTAGGCTTCCACTACAATGCCTTACTGATGATTCCAGTAGTGGAAGTTGGGACGAAACGCTAATTTGTGATATTCTTCACAATCTTATTTTCACAGAAGTTGATTTATCATTACTTTAACATTACAGTCATCGTTAAATTTTAATATGTCTTTCAACATATTATTAAGATCCAATAAAATGCTATAAGCATCAAAAATTGTTAGATTGCTTGTCAATTTAATTAAGTGATATTACTGCGGTAGTTGTTTAGAGTTGCGTTGTAAGTCTGAAAAAAATTTCGGCACGCGATTGGGGGGGATTACATACACAGTATATAAAATTCAAACATAATAAGCATTTGCGATCCAGCTTTGACCGTTATTGACTTCCTTCTTCTTGTTTATTATTGTTTATAAATAATATCACCAAAATATCTAATTACATTGGTGGAAACAGACATTAGCGCTTCAAACGCTACAGAGCATTTATAACACTGACTGGTCATTTGATGCTTCGGAGTGCATCCAGTAATTCTGATAATATCATCGTTTTTGCTCCAATTGTCTCGGGAGGTAGGTTGGTTCACGTAGCAACTGTAGCATTCGGAACTGTTATGGATCAATCCAAGCATAGCATTTGGTGTAGCATTGATAGTATTTGGAAGAAGCAAATGGACCATAGCCATGATGTGTGTGTCAAAAGATCTAAAAATCTCTGTATTACCAACAAATTTTCGATGAAAATTTTGCGTTATATACAATACAAGAATGATTTATTTATTTCATTTCTGCAAAAATATATTTTATATAACTAATTATAAAAGTAATCTTATTTTAAGTTTTTATACTCTTATAAGATTAAATGTAAAAATATAATTATTAGCTACTTTAATATTATTTGCATTATGAAAACTATGAATTTTATATTAACTGTTTAAAATGTCATAATCGAATGTAGAACAAAGAAAATTAGAGAATATAAAAATTAATTCTGATTTTTCTCAACTCCTTTCAGCATGAGAATAGAATAAATACTATAAATGGAGATAGAAAAAGAAATTTGATTGTTCTGAAATTAATTGCTATTTAAAAATTAAAAATCTGTGAAATTTATGAAATTTTCTTATTCTTTATTTTTTATCATATTTTTTTTTCTATTCGTGCAATTTCTAAGAAGAGACCTTTCTAGCTAATAAGTATGACCTTGTGTAAACATTGAAGAAACATTGAAAATTGTCGTGCATGGTCAGTCTTGCGATACTTGACGCACTTATAAAACACAGAATTTAATGAAAGCTGTGCAAATAAAGAATCGAGAAAAACAACTTGCAAAACGTATCGTGCTGCAGATCGCAGAACACGTTTATATCTTACACCGATAGCAGTTACTCAAAAATTTTAATTAACAATGTTATGCCTTTTTTTATTTCTGGCCTTCTCTTGGCTCAGGTAAGAAGCATACACTTATTCATTTTATTTATCGATCTCTTGCACAACAAAAATTCCTTATCGCGATAGAAAAAATGTTCTATAAATAAAATTTAAAAAGTTTGAAAATAATACTTTTCGCAAAATATTTTTTATCAAGCTCCAAAAATGCAGTATTAAATATAGAAATAAATTAAAAATAAATTATAATTAAATATAAAAATACATTAAAGATAAGCTATATTTTTTTTAATTTTCATTGTTATTCTAAATCATCTTGTTGCAATATAAATATCGCGTTTCTTATTGTTACGTAATGAATTTATGTGCGCGATATCTTATTTTCTTGAGATAAGAATTACATCGTGTGACATTGTAAATTTACTGGTATTCACAAACCTATACGTAGAACATGTATGTATTTTACTGCCATCAATAAGTGTCGAATCAAATTAATATTGGAATTTTTCTTTGCAATAATTTTGTAGGGTGACAAGGGAATCTATTTATATATTTTTAGCGCGCAGTGTTTCAAATTACCTTTTTCCTTTTTACACCTCTCTAAATTGAAGACAAATCTGTAAATATAGATTTGTCGAAATCGTAATGCAAACTTGTCCTACTATATCATTTGTTATCATTTACATTTGTGTTGAATGTTCTATAAAGATTTGTTGCTTCAATTGTTCAATTAAACACCAATCTTTTGTTTTTATTTAGAATGAGCATGGCTGCGATCGCTCAAGGATCCGTTACAACTACAACATGGGGTTCTGTAAATGGTCAAGAAATCAAGAAGTTTACGTTGAGAAATGAAGCTCGTCAAGAGGTCGATGTCACAACATATGGTGCGGCGGTGACTGCCATTAGAACGCCAGATAAAGAAGGAAATTTAACGGACGTCGTGCTCGGCTTTGACAACATCGAAGGTATTTTCATAAAAATTATTTGTTCACATATAAACAAATATTTGATAACACGTTCTTGCTCTATTAAATCAATTTTATCATTGCTCAATCTATTCTTAAAATTGTAAAAAAAAATAAATTTAATAAATTGAGAAAAATTCGAGGACTCTCTTTTATATAACAATAATCAATAACATTAAAAAGAGCGAAGTAAGAGTTAAATTACAAATAAAATAAATTTTAATTATAATAAAATATATTTTATTAGGTAAAAAAATTAATATATTGTAATTTATTATATTATTTTCTTGTTTCATTGTGTTAATATAATAATTTTAAAGATTAATTATAGAACATGGTAAATATTTAGGAAGTGGTGCTCCCCCAAAATTGCGGTTTTTTCAGTAATAAACAAAGCTAATTATAAAAAGACGTGTATATCGTGTTTTAAGAGGAGGCTTATGGTTTTTGTAGAAAAAATCCTAATTTTAATAAAAAAAATAAAAGTAGTTATAAGATTCTAAATGTATAAAACAGTATAAATAAATAGAAAGGGCAAAGAGTCAATTAGTTAAACAAACAAATTTAATTCAAAAAATCTTAATATACGAATTAACTAAAAACAAAAACGTTTCAACTCCAATCGGGTCATTTTCAATGTACAATTTGACATGTTTTATAACCAAATTGATTATGGATATAAGAAAAAGTAAAATTAGAATGTGTGTAATTATAACGCATCTTTTCGTCCGCATGAATAAAATACAAGTAGTTATAAGATAATTTAATTTTTTATTGAAATGTTGATATATAAAGTGTTTTAGTTTTCTACATTATCATCTATTTAGACATGAGATCGAAGTAAAACATTCGCAAAAAGGAAAAGAATATATGGACATTCTACTTCTTCCCTGTCCAGGAGGGATGACCGACTTTTCACGTAAACCGAGTTCCATCCAATCTCTTCCCCTGTATGTACGATTTTTTACACAAAGCAAGATCTACCTGAATAAAAAATTATATGCTTTTTTTGGCAAGGAGGAGATAAACTTGCTTTTGTGTAGAATGTCTTGCATTCCATGGTAAGGGAGAAGATAGGATGGACCTAGTTTACATAATACGGTCACTAGAATGATCTTTATATTTATAAACATTTGAAGCATATAGTTGTTAAAAGATTTCTCATATTAAAATGAGGAATAAAACTGTCTTATTTGTTCTTAAAGTATAATTTTTTCTACTTCAAGACAAAATCACAAGCCCATTCTTAAAACATTGTATACATGTGTATACATGCATGTGTCTTTTTAAAACTAGTTTTGTTTGTTACCGAAAAAAACCGCGGTTTTTGGAGGAGCACTATTTCTGAATTTATTACTTAAAATGTAATAAATCAAAATAATTGTACACTGTAAAAAAATACATTAATTTTAAGTAACACAGTAATATTTTAAAACATAAAATACATTTCTAAAGTTTTATAATTAATATGCTTGACATAAAAGTAGCTTTTTATACAGAAATTTATAAGGATATAAATTAAAGTTGCTGGGAAGGGGGGGATAAGATCATTTCAATTGGGAAAGACAACATTTCAGGATACCTTTCATCGAATAATCCATACTTTGGTGCCACCGTTGGACGAGTTGCGAATCGTATCGGCAAAGCAACTTTTGTTGTGGATGGCCAACGTTATAATGTATCCAAGAATACAGGTGAGAACAGCCTCCACGGTGGTACTCGCGGTTGGAGTTTCAAGGTATGGGATGCAACAATTCAAGGCGATTGCGTGGTGATGACTTTGGTCAGTCCGGATGGTGATGAAGGTTATCCGGGATCAGTAACGGCGAGAGTGAGCTTCCAACTGACGAATGATGGAGAGTTGCGCATAGAGATGAAAGCCAAGTCCGAAAAGGCAACGCCGATTAATTTAACGAATCACGGCTATTTCAATCTCGCTGGACACGTACGTAGTACATTTCTTTCTGAAAGTATTTGTGTTTTCGAGAAAGACAAGGAGATAACAATAAATCTTCTCATGCATCATATTCCACATTGAATGAAAAACAAGGAACAAATTGAAAAAGAATAAGTTAGAAAGAACACATACAATGAATGCGGATCGTTTTAGGATATTTTTATCATTATATGCTTTCTACAATAAGTCGTTAGTAATAGATCAGAAGTCGAGAGCGAATTGTAAACGAGTCAGTATAATGTGTCATAATAAGTTATTAATCAATATTTATGTGAAGATGATCAAATTCCACGTTTCTTACAATTTAAAACTTAAATTATGTTATGATTCACATAATATATTTGTCCTGAGGATTACCATCTTTTTGAAATTTTGTAACAATCCAATGTGATTTATTCTGGATATATATAAGCTTCCCCTAAGATTTTTTATGACTTATAATTCTGACGTATCACTAGTGCGATATGAGTGATGACAACTGATTGTAGAAAGTACAAACATATTGCCTTCACCGTACAGGAAACAGATTTATTACACCATAATTTAATTTGTAATTATGTCACAGATACAACAATAACTTTATTAGGCAGCTAATTGATTGATCATAAATAACGAAAGTGTTATGGATCATTATATCATAAATTTGTTTCTCAGGCCACAAACGCAGCAGAACTGTATAAACATGTGATCACGATGAACGCCGATCGTTGGACGGTCACGGATTCCGAAAGCATTCCTACCGGCGAGATTCGGTCAGTTGCGAATAGCGTAATGGATTTGAGGAATCCAACAAAGCTCGGTGATGTCATCGACAAAGTACCGAATGGCGGTTATGACTACAATTTCTGCTTGCCAGAGTCGTCCAATGATGGAAAAGTCAATTTTGTAGCCAAAGTAGTACATCCACCTTCGGGACGTCGTTTGGAAGTATATTCGAATCAACCGGGCGTTCAGTTTTACACGACCAATTCTGTACCTGAAAATGGCATCGTGGGCAAAAACGGAGCAAAGTACTTCAGACACGCCGCTTTTTGCTTGGAAACGCAAAATTATCCCGACGCTGTAAACCATAAAAACTTCCCAAACAGCGTGCTGCGACCAGGCAATACGTACAATCACGTTGTCGTGTATAAATTTGGAGTAGAAAATTAACGCATTTCTGTTTTCTGCTACAAACTTTGAAACATTAAACGAAATTAAACAATAAATAATTTTATATCTGGTATATTTTATATATCTATCGTATACGATAGATTCTACGAAAATCAACCTGTAATAAACGATTTAAGGCTCCTGAATACCGGCGACGGCCATGTTGGAATTGTGACGTCATAGGCGAGAAAAACACATTAATTTTTCTTGCGTCCCATTTTTTAATAAAGACAATTTGGATAAATTTAAAAGGCGAGATCGCTCAAAAACACTTGTGAAAATTGGCGGAAACTGTCCTTTCCTCCTCTAATAGTCAGTAAATGGTCGTAAAAGGCACGTAAAGTGAGCCTATACTCGGGCAGAATCACACATTTTGACAGCTGATGAAACGAGTGAAATATACGCTTTTACGTATAAAATTTCACGATAACTGTAGTTTCCGCCAATTTTTAGGACTTTCACGAGTACGAGGGAAATCACATTTTCACAAATAAGCAAATATTGACAAAATGGCACGCAAGAAAAAATTTGTCGTCAAAACATCACTTTTTCACGCCTATTAGTTCAGACTTTTACCATGGCGAGGCGCTATACACACACAC